TTTTTTTCAGATAACTAATAAAAAGTGTTTCAAACTTCACCTGTAGGTTAATGCATCACTTTGAACATCAGTGCAAAGCCTTCTATGCATATCAGCTTCACTGTCATCTTTCTTTTGAAAATTCTCTAAGTGATAGAAGTCTAGGTCTGTTTTGTTCTAGCTGGAATTTACACTGGGAAGGAGAATTCCTTTTGTTCTGTAAGCTGTCCCCAGTTTTCCCAAATTTAATCTCTTTTTTTCTGTATCTTTGTAAACTATGTGGTACATTACACAAAAAGGCTACTGAATGGGGTATTTGATCATATGTCTCTCTAAAAAAAAAAAAGCCCAACAGATTATTTTACCTCTTTAAATTTTATCCTACCTTTAGTACTGTTGGCTTGTATATAATTCACTTTGGACCTTCACAACAATCTCTTAACAGCTTCAAGAAGCTTCTGAGAAGGAAGTTACTATGCAATCCACAGGAGCATTACAGACCTTCCCTGCACTATGCCTGGCACCCTTCACTTCCCAACCAGTCCACATTACATCCTCTTAACAGCTATGGTGATACCTTTGGGATGAGTCTCCTTAGCCCACAAGCATACAGAGCTATCCATCTAGTCTGAGGGAACTATCTACAGGAACATCTCTCCCCTTTCAAAACTGAAATCCTCCTGCCACACACACAAGTCCCCTTCTCTGCCATAGCACAGGGGTTGTAAGCCTGGAGATGAGACTGCACTACAAGGAGCCTGCAAGTCTTGTCAGCCTGAGTGCAGACTGCCCCAGCCCAGGCTGCACCGCTGGCCTCAGGAGATGGCGCTGGCTCTCAGCGTGCAATCCATGCACCAGCCCCTGGAAAGGCAGACAGAAACCCATCGAGGGAAGGAACTAAGACACTCCCAGCCACCTGAAGAAATTCATTTGAATTCAGCTTTATTTTTTCATAGGTGGATGTATTTTCTCTTGTTTTCTTACGAAGTCAAGAACCAGATTCAGATCAAGAATCCTATCTCACTTTTTTTAGCAGCTGCCCCTCCGTGTACTTTATTGGCTCACTATGCTGGGCTTCAGTCACTTGACATGCTGAGCGTGGGGGACCAGGGGAAGAGTCTCAGAAAGCTCCTAACTTTACATCTGTGGCTATAATTTGCCTTCAGTGAATAGCTCAATGAATTACTGTGCAGTTTGCTTAGGGATTTAGCAGGAGAACAAGAGGAAAAAATAATGAACTGCCACTATACCTGCAACCTCAAATGAAAGCAGAGCCACTCGTGCAACTTCCCTTAATGGTAGATTAAGATTTGTAACCATATCTAAGGACTTGTTTTAAACCAACCATCTGGTGGAAGTTTACTACCCCTTGTAAATAGTGATTAAACTAAACAATTTCTAACCCCAAATTTAGAGAGGAATTTACAGAATTACAGATTTGCCTTTTAAGTTTAGGGAGAGGAACAAGAATCAAAACAAGTCAGAAGCTAATGAAAAAAACAAATTCTTAGACTAAACTCACCCAGGCTTTGATGCATTAAGCTTTCTCTTACTCACAACACTTAAAATGTTCAGACAGCTTGGTGCTAAGTAATAACCATTAAAATATTTAAAAGTGTTAGACTAAGTCCATCTGTTCCATTTGTCATCAGAAGTGAAGTTTCTGAAGTTAGAATCTGCAGCCACAGCAGGTTTAGGAGAGACCTTGTCAGGTACAATAAACCCTGAAGGAGTTATCACTGTAGGGGCTCTCCTGAGTAAGAAAAGCAAACAGCATTAGTATGCTCACAAGTCCCAGGCACAGAGCTAGATATGGCCTACAGGCAAAACTGAACAGTTCTTTCTCAATACAGTTGTGGCTTGGATACTCTTAATACAATGCCCAAAAAATCATCTAAATTAAAGATGGTAAGATAAAATTGATTACATTTAATTAAAATTTGAATTAAATTTAAAATTTTAAAAAATTACATTTTAATTTTAAAGATCATTGTAGAGAACATCATAAGAATTTCTTCTGCAAGAGAAAAAGTACAGGTTTTCAGGTATATTAACTATAAACATTAACATGAAAATAAATTTCTTGAAAGGCTGCAGTAATCTGGTAGTAGATTTAGCATAAATGCTGACATGTTATACATGACTAGCCAGCAAGATTAATGTTTTGGTAGCAGGGAACTCATAAAGCTCTGAATGGCATAAACTAAATATTGAAGCTTCAAGCATTACGAGGTTTGGAAATCCATACTCAAAGCTGCCCACATACTCTTTAGCATCGAAATCTAGTATTTTTCAGGTAAGCCCTAAATGATACAATGAAGGCATTTTTCTACACCGAAGGAGACCCATTGCGTTTTGCAAGAAGACCAAAGTGTACTTTCTGAGTGTTCAAGTATGCAAGACTTCATGTTCAGCTTCAAGCTCTATTTGACTCATATTATCCAAAAGTTATGATGAATCAGCTTCACAGAGAGGCAGAAAAAAAAAAAACACACTTGGAAATAGGGAAAATCCAGGTTCTGTGCCAAGTTCCCAAGAATGTTGCTGGAACGCTGTAGGAAATCAATCAGCAAAATTGGTGCAGAGAAATTTATTTTTCCTTTCCAGATCTCCTATTGAGAGGCAGGCAAGGTGCAGGGGATTAAAGAAAACCTCAAAAAAACCAACGCCCCACTAACTCCTGTCTTTGTACTGATTCATAGCTCCCTTAGTCTGTAACTCTTCCTTCTCTTCATTTGCATCCAGACCTTTTTTCTTTTTCTCTCTGCTGCTCAGAACCAGTAAAGACCACCTTTCAGTACAAGAGTGTCTGGTTTTCATTACTAGTGGCCTAGAAGCAGCATCTTCCCCAGCAGGGAGTAATTTTAAGTCAATGCTAAATGTCATCTGTCCTCAAGAGATCATTTTATCTACTGCATGATCAATGTAAATAAAAGTTGCCTAGTAAAGACAAGTATTTACCAGTATAAGAGTTAAATATTTCAGATTTCTGGTAACAAGGTAGCAGATATAAGCCTTCAATAATGATTTAAAATTAAGTCCAAGGAACCTTTACTGTAAATGTTACATGTCTAATAGTTTATAAATAACTGCTAGATCATTTAGATTCTTGAGACAGAAAAAAGTTTTAATTAATAGTTTAATTAATAGGTTAACACTAGACTCATTACTTACATATTTTACATGCAAATTTTAATAGGTCTCTCTTTTCAGAAGTTTTTTTTTTGGTTTTTTGTTTTTTTTTTTTTCCCCCCTTTCTCCCCCTCCTCCCAAGTGATAATCCTTATGCAATTCAATTAAAAAAAAAAAACACCACCCAAACACTTCTACAAAATCTAGGGAGAACAGAAGTTTATTGAGTTCTACCTGTCTAAAAAGTGCTGGTGAAAAGTTGCCATTTCATGCTTTGTCTATAAAGATAAGTCAAAAGAGAAATTGTTGCAAAAATCAGCTCATTTGAAAATCAAGTGTTTCTCCAGAACCTATTACCATTCCTAAGTGAACACAAATGTAGTTTTTGATTTATTTTTTCTTTTGTTCACATCAACCTAGTCCTTTTCATTTTCAAATAGAACATCAACACTCTATGTTCCCTCAAGATTATTTAAATACTTACTTTCAGGTCGTATTAATATACAGAGAAGCAATTAATTATATCTTACCCAGGTATCCCAGGTCTAAAAAGTGCATGATTTAAAACATTAGTAATGGAGTATTTTGAAAGAACATTCTTATTCAGTATTAATGCATGCTATTATTACAGAAATACCCATTGCATATTATAGGAACAATATTTATTCTTTTGTAGACAACAAAAAAATCTTGCTGAATAGTATAAATCTATTTTAATAAGGTTCCTGAAGAGCAGCTTCCTTCAGCTGCACCAACACACACTTGCACAGGTGTTACACTTCTGCACTAATGTGCCTTAAAACTGGCCTCATATTTTCAAAGCATGGCTTTAAGACTGGATCTTGAGTTTTAGTAATCATTCATTTAAATTGTTTGAATAAAATATTAAAAACTAATATAATACCTAAATTTGAACTTAACATGCTTTTATGTCTAATTCTTATAGTCGCTTTTAGTATTTACACAAATGCTGGTTTGCTGTGGTCTTTAATGTTGAGAAGACATTGCTGAGAGTGTGGAACACGTGCTCAAAAAAACCAAGACCAAACCAAACAAAATCCCTGGGGAAGACCAATACAAATCCCCTGTCAGCACAACTGCACAAGTTATGATGCAATATAATGAGCCAGCTTGGTTTAATGTGAGGAGCAGTCACAAATACACCAGTCTATTTTCAGTCATTTTAGCAACTGGATTAATAAAAATATTTATGTTAAACTGCAAGTAATACACTCCAAGTCCATAGTATATTTCTATACAGCAGTTGACAGCAATTTTCTAAATGGATGATGAAGAAATACACAGAAAATCCAACATGAAAAAGCAGAGGAAGATGTGAAGCATGCTAAAATGATGCAATGGAACAGAGTATATAAATTAAGTTTTTAATCAAGACTTTTTTTTTTTAAACAGAGGTTCATCAGGAAATTTTTTAATTGGAAAATGAAAGCCTACTCCCACAGTAGCAGAGCCATTTCCCTCAGGCAGCTCTGTTGTACAACTGTTACCAGGACTCTAAACGATTTGTTGCATATTGGTATTTCTGAACAAAAAAGTTTTAAAATACTGTATAGATTTTATTTGTGCTCCACATGTTGCAAGCAATTAACAACACAAAGAAACATTCAATTCCCCAAGTTAGAATACAAAAAAAACTACACCAAATATTACATGTACACAATACTTGCACAGTGACAAGCACAAGAAAGTACTAGTTCGAGCACTTACTTTCAGAAATCCATACCAGCTCTTAAAAATCCATTTCAGTCCTCCCACACCACCCAGTCTACAGTTTAAGGCATCTCTACACAGCCAGCCATCCACTCCCATATACATAACTTACGTTGGAGGTGTTTACTCTTAGCAGAAGAAAGAAAATCATCACTATGTCAACCAGGTACCGTTTCTATTTATCCCTAGCAGTGTGTCAGCGCTGGCACCTGACAGTGCAGCCAGTGTTCAGTCAGTACAATATTTACATAGCACAGCACATGAAGCTTCAGACACCCACCTGGGGAATAAACCACGTTTTAGAACAGGACAAAGGTCACCATTATTATGTATTTGAATACAGCTATTTACAGGTCCCTATGACATAACTATAGTCTGTACACTGTTCCAAGGGGGCAGGCAGAAGCAGGATAGACATTTATTTTGAGGGATTTTAAACTTAGAATTTGGAAGCATATCATTATGCTACCCTGAACACCACAAACCACCCTAACATTCTCCAAGGTGGTCTCATACCCTAGAATGGCATGTCCAGCTGATACAAAACAGACAACACAATGTTTATTTTGTGGAGAATTTTTTACCCCAGCTATTCAGTCATCTGAATTTTGAAGGCAATTCGTCCAAGAAACTTGTCACGGTCATCTTCATTTTTTAAGTTAGGAGAGCCCAGGATCTTACACTCAATTGTTATTTCTTCTTTGGTACTGTTGGAGTTAATTGCTAGTTGAACAGCCACTAGAGGCTGTAAATAGTGAGCCTGGTAAAGACAAAGATTGGGAAAATATTTAAGATACCAGAGTTAAACTGGCATTTAAATTAACACCTAATCTAACAGAAAAGTTAAGAAAAAAAGGTAATTAAGAACCCAACTTTTCAAAGTCTAATCTGACTCACATTAGACTTTTTTCCCCCAGGTTAAAGTCAGGTATACATTCTTCATACTATTGAAGTAATACATTCAGTGAGATTTAAGTCAGACAGTATCTTCAAAAGGCATATGATTTTACCCCTTTCTATTACGCTGAGTTAATTTTTTTCCTAGAAATCTCTACTTGAAACAGCCTCTGAAATTAGTCTTCTCGCCCAGGCCAGGGATCTGGGCTAATTGTTCTGAGCAGCAAAAGACAAATAACCATTCTGGACCACAAAACTATAGATACTAGTAATTTTATGGCTCCTACTTTATCACAGGAGCAGCAAGGTTAGTTGAATCCTCTTAACTTCTTTACAGAATAAAGAAATTCAACCATCCCACACTAACAAAAATTCTGTTGTATAGACAAGAATTCAATTCAGTGTCTTGAGACATGGTCAAGCACCTCAACCTCTCAACTCTTCTTACTGCCTCTTCTTCTTTACAATATAGTATTATGAGAATTGAGTCTTACATAAGCAAGAATCCCACAAACCATGCCACATGACAAAGTGAGTCAAAAAATACCAAAAAAAGATAATTCATTTTAATTAAAAAAAAAAGTAAAAATTTCTTGATAACTTAAGCAAGGAATAACACCGAGTTTTGCTTGACTTCACTACTCTCATGACCCTTCCTTTTCCGTATGTATGGCAGCAAGACAGGAATTGTCAGGAAGACTCTTCATCCCACCTTTGATACAAACTGCCTCCTGACATCTCAGGGTCTACTCATGCTGCATTTTGTGTTTCTTAGGGAAGCAGCACACTCTCTCTCTAGTCTTCCATTCCAAAAAGAGAAGAGAGTACATACTAACTGTCTGTTGGAAGCACAGATTGGCAGTCTCTCTCTTATCTTGTACATCTAAAAAAAGGATGGTTTACAAATCCAGAAAGTCTGGCAACACAATGGAAAAAAACAGAACTACCTACTATAAGTAACATGAAAGCAAATGTTGAAGAAAAACAAGTTCCTTCCTCATTACTAAAAGCTATATAAGGACAACAAAAGTTTATGTGAACTGCTCGAAGTATACCATACACTGGAAAATAATGATAAAGGACCAATTTAGTACAAAAATCACTCTGAGAAAATTACAATCGCCTACTGTGGCATACTATGGATCTAATAGATTTATTATTTTTAATTACAAAGTACTTTTATCTTCAATGGTGAACAGTGAAGATGTTATTAGAGTAGATAGCGGTTATTAACAGGCAATATAATTTTATATTTCACAGAAGGTATGGATTTTCTGTATGTAGTTATCAAAAGCTGATGCAAGAAAAGGAAAAAAACTGAATTCAAGTTTGAAAAGGAACTGGAGTTGTAATTCTATATATTCTGTGTCCATAGAGTAGTGAGCTTTGGGTTTTTTTAAAAACATTTTCAGTTACACAAATAGAATCTACGTTAGAATATAATGACAGATGGAGCAAGCAAAGAAAATCAAAGACAACATTTAAAAAAATAAAATAGTAATAACAATTAAAGAAAAAAAATCTGCTAACTTGAAGTGCTTCCTCATAAAACACAACAAACAGAAAATATGACTGCAGAGCCACAAAGAAATATATAATTCATTATGGCATTGTTGACCACATCCTATGACCTTAATATCCTATACATAAACCCCAAGGATGAACTATTAGAAACTACTGTAATCCAAAAAGCCAATTTACTTTCCTTACATTCAAAAAGACCCCAAAAATATATCAGTGACCAAAAATCAACAGATGCCCTAATACTGCTAGTATGTACCCCCTTCTTCATTGGGACAATGCCCAGTTTGTTTATTTATGTTTACTAAATTGTATCTTTAATCTCATCATGCACCAAGAAATTTCTGCATATGCTGATGTTCCTTACAAGTACCTCACTACAAAGTTCAAACTTCAGAATGAATCTGGTATTAGTAACTGTAACCAGAAACAAGATAGTTATGAGATGAAGACCACCATTAAGGCATACTTACATGTAATCTTTTCCCATAGTATGGGAAGTACATTAGGTCAATCAAGCCTTCAGGAGGAAAATAATTTATCTCAGCCATGCCTTCTTCCTGTGATAGGACATAGCAACAAAATTCCATGTTAACATCTGCTTGCATTAAAACAAATACAAAACTATATTTATAACCCAATGATAAAGTGCAAGTTCCCTTAAAAAATGGCAATGGGGCTACAAACTCTTAGAATAATTTCCAAAATAGATTTCTGACAAGCATTTAGATGCTGTACACATCTGAACATCAGCATTTAAATTAGTAATGAAGTTAAGACAGCTTGCCTTCACATTTCCCTTGTAAGGAAAAGAAAAGTTGAGGAGGGAAGAGGATATTCATTGCAATTAATAATTTAACAACAGCAAAAAAAACCCAGAAGTATCCACAACCAAGCCTCTATCTTCTGGTGAGGCAAGAGCACATCCATATTTGAGAGGAATTTCTGTTCAAAGCCAGGTTTTTAAGCCTCTCAAACTTAGAGCAATACAACTCTTCACAAAGAACTGTAGCCCCCTCCCTGCAATAGTGTACTAATTCCTAATATTTGTTCAGCTAGTCTTGGAATACAGCCTACCTAAAAGAACCCCAAGTTTAAAATAGTTATGTTACTAAAGTTTCTGTGTGTTCATCCTCAGGACTCTATCCTGGCAGGATATACCCCAAGTTCAAACCACTAAGCAATGCCCACATCTAGGGTGACTTCTTATAACAAGGTAAACATATTACCGTGATCAGGAGAAATGCCACTAAAACAACCTCCTCAAAACACTAAATACATCTTCAGAACTTCACTGCTTGTTCAATGTAATTCACAAGTTCAAAGTGCATTAGTAACTTAGTTTTTTCTCCACTACCATATACAACAACTGTAATTTTAAAGACATACTACAAAGTTCAATAGACAACTACAGTAATAGAACTAAGGAAAAAAAAAAGACAAGTGCAAAAAAAACAGTAAGTAAACTACAGCTCAAGAGTACCTTCTCACCTCCTCAAAAGAACATACAATATGTTGTTTAGGATATGGCCACATTCTTGTTCCTCTGCAGTCAGAATTACTGAAGTTCCTCAATATATGCTTATCAAGTATTTTGGACCTCGAGCTAGCAAATATAATTACTAAGTAGAAACGTGTTGCTTCTCAACGTTATTCTTTATTTTATTCAAAGCTCATGCAGTTAAAATATAAATTTTTCAAATGTATTTCTGAAATAATGGTTAAAAAAAGTCAGAATACAGAATAACATGGGAAAGATAAATAGGCGTTTGCTTTCTGGAGCAGCTAAATCCAAGGCACACATGCAGCTGTAAGCACACACACTAGATTTACCAGTGCAATAGCAGAGAGGTACTGCAACATGCAACTCCCTGTCTCATGCAGCTGCTGTGGGGTTTGGGGTTTCCTGTCAAAATAACCCTAAATAATATCCCTGCACAATTTAAGAAACAAAAAAACACTGCCACCCCAAAACCCCAACACCTAAACAAGCTGCATCTGCTGAAGAGCTTCAAGAATCAGCCCGTTAGCAAGTGTCACTTTTTCTGCTTACCACTTACATTTTCCACAAAGAGTAGTAGAGGCAGTCAGCAAATCTAAAAACCAGACTCAGCCAGACAGGCAGGCTTCCCCCTCACTCACTGGATCTTTATTAAGACTGTCTTAGAAAGACTGATTTTGCAGATGTTAAAATAACATACAGAGACCCAAGGAAAGAACTTGGGCAAGGCTGGTCTGTAATCATTTGATAAGAAATGGCATCACTGCACAAGAGCAGTACCCACTAGTTGAAACCACAAAACAGCTAAGATTTGTCACAAAAAGCAAGGTAACTCAGATGCTGAGTATGTTGACAACAGCAAGGCATGTAGTGTCATTCATACAGCTACTCTTCATTCTTGTAAACTAGAAAGTGATACCTAATACAGGGATGGTCACCAAGCAGCACAAATATACGTATTTTGGAATTAAGGCAAAATTTTTTTTCCCCCCATGCATCAAATATACCAGTTTTCAGCAAAGGCAGTTTTAACTTGAAAGAATACTGCTGCAAGAGGTTCCATCACACATGAAATCACACACCTCCAGCCCCAAACTGAAGATGCAAAATGCTGATCTTCAAGGTTCTTGGAAACACAATCCCTTTTTTGGTTTGTTTCTTAGTGGAGGATCCTCAAGACTACAGCAGCTCAGTAGTGCTCAGGGTGCAGGAGGAAGAAGCAAATGTAATTGTCTGACACTGCAAACATTCCCTTCCCTCATCTACAGAAACTAGTTATGACAGCTACCACTACGTGGGGGCAGAGGGAGGAGCATTGCCAACTATCAAGTGTGCTGGCTTTGAAACTGCAGATCTATCTAGATCCCATAAAAGAATGGCTGAAGAACAAATTTCAAAAGTGAAAAACTTAAATGATGTTTCAGGTGGCAAAGACTGGAAGGATGCAAAGACAGAAGCTGTTAACCTCATTTTGTATTTGAGACTTGTCCTCTTCATTAAGAAAAAGATACTTTTTTCTTCCATTTAAAAGTAACATTGTGTCAAGTGCAGGCAGACGCTTCTGCAAACTGCTCTGAATCAATTGGTTTTTTTAGCATGAGAGTTTTACATATAAAAACAGATTAAGTCAAAACAAAAGTTTGCAAAAAGCAAATCTGCACGTTAAAAAAGTAGGGCTCTACAGTGAAGACCAAATGGAAAAAAAACCAAAACACCAACAAAGCCACACAATCAACAAGCCAAAACACCCCGACAGAACTTCTTGGTTGTTTAAAGACTAGGTAAACACCCTGAACAAGAGAAGCAGTGGCGAAGCACTCATGTCCACTACACTTAAACTTATGTTAGAAGCTAGTATTTAGGCAACATTCAAATACAGTGGCAGATGCAATGCAACTACAAATTCATCTGCAAAATGCACAAAAGCCCACTGGCTGTCCTTCACCTTTCCAGTGCGTACACAAGTGTCACGATTCACATCCTCACATCAACAAGATCCATAAGAGCCACAAAAATTACTTCCGGATAAGCATTCCCTTTACCCGCTACAGAAGAGAAAGAGACCATTACCCAGCATTCACAGAAATGAAAAACAGAATTGGAAACCAGGCTTTATAAGCTGATGTAAAGAACAGCTTAATCCTTTAAGTTCAAAGTAAGAAATTTCAATAAGCAAGGGACGTAACAGAAAGTAGTTCTGTGAAAGTTAAGCATAGACAAAAGGAGAAAAACCCAGTAGAGTATGCTCATCCAAGCCATGGGCAGCCACTTCCTCCAAGAGGCAGCCATGGGAAACGGTACCTGTGTAGAACAAATGTGTACAAGGGCTTTACTGCAGTCCAGGTACACAACACCCCCAGCCTCTCCCTCATCCACCAAGCAGGCCACCTTGTCATAGAAGGAAATGAAGTTACTCAAGCAGGAGCTGCCTTTCATAAACCCATGCTGACTGGGCCTGAACACTTGGTTGTCCTGGATATGTCTCCTGATGGTACTCAAGATTATCTTCTCCACAACCCTCCCTGGCAGTGATGTCAGACTGACAGGCCTGCAGTTCCCAGGATCCTCCTTCGAGCCCTTATTGTACATGGGTGTCACATTTGCTAACCTCTGGTCCTCTGCAACCTCCTCAGCTAGCCAGGACTGCTGATAAATGACGGAAGGTGGTTTGGAGAGCAGTTCTGCCATCTTCCTCAGTAGCCCTGAGGTGGAGCCCATCTGGACGCACAGACCTAAGATCTAAGTGGAGCATCAGGTTGCACAGCACTTCCCCTTGGATTTTAGGGGCTTCATTCTGCTCCCTGTTCCTGTCTTCTGCTCATTGGGCTGGGTACGTGGGGAACAACTGGTCTTACTATTAAAGACTGAGGTGAAGAAGGCATTGACTACCTCAGTCTTTTTCTCATCTTTGGTCACTATGTTTCCCCCTGCATCCAATAAAGGATGAAGAGTCTCCCTAGTCTTCTTTCTGTTGTTAATGTATTTATAGAAACATTTTTTTGTCGCCTTTAACAGCGGTAGTCAGGTTTGAGTTCTAGTTGGGCTTTGGCCCTTCTAATTTTCTCCCTGCATAACTTCACTACATCTTTGTAGTCCTCATGAGTGAGTGGCCTGCCACCCCCTTCCAAGGGCCATAAACTGTCCTTTTGTTCCCGCGCTGCAGCCAAAGCTCTGTTCAGCCAGGCCAGTCTTCTTCCCTGCCAGTTTGTCTTTTGGGCCAGGAGGGTCGCCTGCTCCTGTGCCATTAAGACTTCCTTCCTGAAGGATGCCCAGCCCTCCTGGACTCCTTTGCCCATCAGGATGGCCTCCCAAGGGACTCAGTCACTCAGTCTCAGAACAGGCCTCAGCCTGCCCTCTGGAAGGCCAGGGTGGCCGTTCTGCTGACCTTCCTCCTTCCCCCTCCCAGAATCAAAAACTCCATCATTCTACGACCACTATGCCCAAGCCAGCCTCAAACCAGTACACCCACCCCTCAGCCCCCAAGTCTCTCTGTTCACAAGTAGCACGTCCAATTAGGCTAATTTGGCACACTCAAATTGTCAAAGCCTGAAAAATATTTTCCCTGGAAGTCACTAAAGAACTAATAAAATTGATACTCTTAAAATTTAAACACACCATATTCTAACTGGATATGGTAAAAAGGAGTACTTCATACTTAAAGAGAACACAAGAAAATACATACCATCATGTACAACACAATTTTTAAGTACCTCAAAGGATAAAAAAAAATAGCAACCCCCCTACCATCAACCATTTTTTATCAAGCATACTCTTTTGCTAGAGAAATCAGCTATGAGAGTAAGAAAAAAAAAAAATCTTATTTGCTTAGTTCAGCTTTTATTAGTGTCTCATAGAACATCAATAAGAAAGCTAAAGAAATACAACCACCATAAAAGAGGATTACCATCAAGTTTTTGTAAGTCACTTGAACACCAGTTCTTAACACATCAGAAGGCATTTCAGGTGGAAATGAAGATGACTGTGCCAGACCTAGTGCAGTGTTTTCAGTAAGGATTTGTGAGATATAAAACAGTTCATTCACAGAAGGTACTAAAGCTGTAAGTAGTTAAAAAAACTTCAAAGAACTCAATCTTATTAAAATAATGAAAAATAATGGGGGGGAAGAAATAGCAACATGAAATTCAAAGCTCTGAACTTCAAGAAATCACATCTACAAACACAGAGGGATATAAATAGTAAAATGATTAAAATAAAGATTCAACATACTACAAGTGGCAAATTCACCTCAAGAGACATTACTTCCAAGTGCAATGACAGATGGAAGAATTCTGTCATTAACAATACCTCAGCTAGGGGCAAACTTCTGTCCAGTTTGGGATACCACATTACACAAAAAAAAAATAGATTTATATATATAAGAAGTTAAAGAAGGAAGACTAGTAGTAAAAGTAGAAGGAACTTAATTGCTTTATTCTAGAGAAACAACCAATTCTTCTAATGGAACATTTTTAAAGAATGGACACACAGAAATTAGTCTCAAATATGAGAAGGAATCACCTTGACCTGCAACAGACCATCATGAGGAGATCATAACTTTCAAGGACTCCACAAAAATCAAATATTAAAAGAATGGGGAATTTCAGCAATCGCCTCAAGGTAAAAGCCATAACTCCACCCCTTGCTCAAGCTACTAACTTACCAAGGCTTTCACTGTTCCCCAAACGGTCTAGCAAAAATGTGTAAGTCAAAGTAATTATTATAGTTGCCATAAAGCACTGTGTAAATACATTGGTACTCAACACATATGCATAGATTACCCATTGTTATAAATAGTTTATACTTGATTTGAAGGAAACTTTTACTTGAACAGTAACATTAGTTTCCACACTGTGTCTTACCCATCATTTATAAAATTGTCTAAGGTGCACTTGCAGCATGGAGAAAAAAATAAAAATACAGGTTATGAAAAGAGAAAACAAAACAAAACTCTCAATAAATAAATAAATATGACCACAAATACCATGTATGCATTTTCTTTAACTGTAAAGCAAGTCAGGTAGCACAAATACATCTAAAGATGAAAGAACAACAACAACAAAAAAGTATTTTTCTAAGTACACTGAAGAAATCAAAGACATTAAACTAGACAGAGTAAAATGTAAACAAGGAAAAAAAGTACAAAGTCTAACAAGAAAGAAAGAAAGAAAGAAATGTTCTGACACAGTATATTACTCCGCTTTTGATCCTAATCAAAAGGAAAACTAACTACACACTTACTCCTTACATTGAGAACTGACCTTAGGTGTACACTGTATACGTGGTTCTCCTTCAGGCTTTAATCCAATTATCTAAAGGAAAGAAAGTTAATGTAACTGAATCTAAACTTTTCCCCCACCTAATATGACAGAGTTCATACAGAGTCATTTTTGTATAAAGCACTATTTGAGACTAGGGCTAAGACTTAAAGCATTGTTAAGTTAAAGCTCAGATAGTTACAGTGGCTACAGAAAGGAGTATTTTCTTCTTTTACATTCAGCATATAACATCAATGGTTCAAACCACTTAGGAGTTCAAGCAATGTATAACATCACTGAACGGTCAAGTACAAGTCACTCAGTGAAGTTTCCATCACATTACATAGTTTAGGAGTTACAGAATGCATTAGATTGTAATCATTTTCTAGAATGCAGACATGGAAGTAAAACACTTTACCTGCACAGTGGTTTAGAATCTGTTACATACAACAGTAAGCACAATGCTCCTTAAAATAGGGTTTTCAGGTATTTTGATGCAAGCAAGCAAAGCCAATACTTTTAAGTATTAGAATGCTCAAAAAGCTCATTTCGTTTTACTTTGAAACACGTGAATTAGTGGACATTTCAGTAATTACACTATTCCAGAAATACAAACACCTTTCAAATCAAACTGAACACTTAGTTCAGTTCCTCTCTTCAGTTATTTTTCATACAGTAGGTAGTTGGGAGCACTTATCCCAATAATTAAAAAATAAGTAAGCACTTACTCTGTTCACTTTCACAAGCACACAGGGAGTTCCTCTGGAGTAGCCAAAGGTCTTGTCTTCTTTCCCAGAGCACTGCCCAAGTTCAGAGAGGTTAAACCGACATGCCTTTTTAACAGCGACATCATTCTGGTCAAAAATCCTTCCTGGTGTGCAGTTTATGTTTTGGGACTGCTTTGAATCATCATATGCTGTGGAACAGAAATTGCTTGTAAAGCACTAGTATAAAGCATACAAGTAGCCCAAAATTGTGAAGGCTATATAAACATCAAATTTATCATCGTTTCTTCTCCAGGAGTTTTCTTAAAGGACTATTTTCACAGCACAATGTCTCTTATATCCATCTGACAGACACTTTTCTCAAAGCCTATCAAGAAGTGGCATTGTACTTGAATGAAAACAGAGTATTACAGAAGAAATAATACTGCTTTGCCCTTCCAATCTGAACTATTATCACAACTTCATCAACCTCTCTGCATAAACTAATTCTAAACTAATAGTGTATTAAAGTATAAACAATCAAGTTTTCACCTGGAAACTAAACCAGGTTTCCCTTCACATGTTTCTTTTTTGAACACACAGGAAAACTTCATGTACTTCAATGACTAATATTAAACTGCCTCTACATTTACATCAGGGTAGTACAACTGATGTTATACTAACATCCCAAGTTGTTTCTCACTGCGTTTCACAGGTACGCAGACCACAATGTCACAAATGCATATCTGTTCTAAACTAAAATGTTTTGTGGGTTTGTTCCCCTTCCTTACAGCCTGTCCCCAGCTATGTATAAACAAAGTAGAACAGAAGAAGGGAAAGTTCATCCTCAATGCTAGAGTCCATAACCCACTGAACTGCAGAAGAGGCAGGTAATCACCAAATGTAATATTCCTCCCCGGAATGCCTGGCAGAGCTCTGAAAGAAAAGCTTTCTCATAGAAGCTTTTACGAGGCACCAGAAATGCAAATCCAAATAGATTTAACTAAAGCTTATATAGCTAACAATGCAACTCGTGCACACAGGTGAGATTTTACAGAACCTCCTGAATTTTGACTAAGAATGCCTATAAACTGACTAATATTTTATAGAAACCAATATAAAATTGGTTTCTATATTAAACCAATATAAAATTGGTTTCTATATTACTAGATTAAGTGTACATACAGGCACATACATAAAATGACATAGGACTTCAACTACTGATTTTGCCATCGTTCAGTCTTGTCCTGTGTTATTTTTTTTCTCCATATTGTAAATTCAGTGTCTCACTATTTCTTCCTGTGCATACTGTGGATCAGGGTGAAAATTAATAAATTGCACTTAAATTAATCTTTGTGTGCCTTATTTTTCAAATAAGCAAACACGCAAGGTCTTAAGAGTGAAGGACTCTCACTCAGTTACCAAGCCATTTAGATGAAGATGGACCAGTTAAGTGTTGATAAAGTTTGCCTCAAAATGGCAGAATCACAGAATGGTTTGGGTTGGAAGGGACCTTAAAGATCATCTAGTTCCAGCCCCCTGCTATGGGCAGGGACACCTCCCACTAGACCAGGTTGCTCAAAGTCCCATCCAGCCTGGCCTTGAATACCTCCAGGGATGGAGCATCCACAGCTTCCCTGGGCAGCCTGGGCCAGGGTCTCACCACCCTTGCAGGAAGGAAGTTCTTCCGTGCATCTAATGTAAACCTACCCTCTTCCAGTTTAAAGCCATCACCTCTTGTCCTAACACTACAGACCCTTATTAAAAGCCCCTCCCCAGCTTTCCTGTAGACCCCTTTAAACACTAGAATGTGGCAATAAGACCTCCCCAGCTGGAGCCTTCTCCAACTCTCTCAGCCTGTCCTCACAGGAGAGCTGCTCCAGCCCTCTGATCATCTTCATGGCCCTCCTCTGCACCCACTCCAGCAGGTCCATGTCCTTCCTTGTACTGAGGGCTCCAGAGCTGCACACAGTACTTTAGATGGAGCCTCACGAGAGTGGAGGAGAGGAGGAGAATCACCTCCCTCCATTTGTTGGCCACACTTCTCTCGATGCAGCCCAGGCTACACTTGGCTTTCTGGGCTGCACTCCCACATTGTTGGCTCATGTTGAGCTTTCCATCAACCAGACTGGTGTAATTTTACACTGAATGCTTTACCATATGTAATTTCTACATGTTGTCGTATTTAAACGACCATGTCCCCAAAACACTGCACTGGGACCCAAGACTCTCCATTATGTACTCCAGTATTGCTCAGGCTCCATGTCCAATATACATATTGATACTTATCCTTTTCTGTAAAATACACACTTTAATAACATGTCTAGAGTAAGCCTGAACTTGCACCTGTCTACATTATCAATCAGTAAGTACAATCAAAAAAGGAAGCTAAAGCACTGAACATCAAGACTGATGAATTACTTAGGCAGTTATAGGTAAGTTACTTACATTCAAGGAATTTTCTGAGTGTAGAAACATATTCTGCATATGACTGAGCGTCACTCTTGTTAAAGTAAAATTCCAATGCAGTGTCTGGCTTTGGCGAAATCATAAGTCCTTAAAAAGAAAAAATGCAAGTAAAGACCTAAACAAATT